ACCGGACTGTTTTTAGGGTAAAATTAGTTATTTGGGGTAACACGTGCATGCAACCTTGTAATAAGTTCGTGGCTTGTAAATAGTTCGTCATTACTCAGCGTAAATGGCTTTTCATTAAAAATTACCCGGCGACGCATCTTTAAAATGGCCGGCGACGCTTTGGGCTTAAAAATCCATATATTGCCGAGTGCCGACGCTGCATCCACCCTCTGCATAGTGGTGTATGATAATGCAGGTATCCAAGATACCTACTTTACTCAGTTTACTGGTCTACATATGGAACCCAAAAATGAACTTGAGGGAGAGTCTAAAAAACTCTGCTTTGCCACTATGGTTGGAATTAGTTTTTATTTGTCTGAAACCAACTCTTAACTTAATCATCTATTAATTTATTTACCACTTGAAATCAGCAAATACAAGTATACTTAAAGGATTCCCAATATATTCACAGACTTATTTAAAAGTCTCGAACTATATTATTCTTTCTACACAAACAGTTTATCACTATTTCAGTATTTGGTAGACTGTAGAGCAAGGTCTAGTGTCCTTACCTTACTGTTACACACTTAAAACTTACACCACATTGTTTTATAGCCTAATATGCATTTGTAAAAAGTGTATGGGTGCCAGATAGCTAATACAGCAACCAGTCATAAAATTGGAATAGGTAAGCCAATTTTAATTACAATATATTTTCTACATGAACCAACCACCAGTGAGTGGCAGTGGCACTGTGGCAGTGACCACCAGTCCACTGTCCACCATTCATATTTCATTATTCATAGAATCCACTGTCAGGAACTTTAAATTCAATTAGGCATAAAACACAATTAAAATTCAAAAAGACGATTAACAGTTTTGGCAGAAATAAGTATTATAATTCCTCGGTCGAAAATTGAAATGAATAGGATATGAAGAGTAGAGTCGTGAGACCAAAGGCAAAGATGAGTTCTATCCGCCAGTCTGCCAGAGTCGAATTTCCAAACTAAGTCATCGGTTTTGAAAACGAAATCTGCTCAAAATAAAAACGTAAACCATTTATTTATTTATAAAAAAAAAGAAATACATTTTAAAAAGGTTCTAGTGATTCATGATATGCGTGGCAATATAATGTTTTCGAACGCCCCGCTCTACGATTGGACTGCAGGTGGAGGCACCTCATTGGCGGAAACGCGTCATACACTCATACTCAGGTTGCATAGGAAATAATGCTCTAAATTTAACATATAGACCCTAAAATGTGAATAACCTCAAGACCTCGCATATAAAAATTTAGTATCGTTTAATTTTACCACTGAAAGTCTTACCCTGCCTGAGAAAGGGAGATACAACATATTACTAAGAAGAGACTCCACACACTTCCTCTCATGGCTGTCGTGTTGTTATTTCTGAGTTGTTCGAAACTTCGAACTCTAAAGGCTTGAAGCGAACGTCAGTGGCTGCCAGCTGCACTGCTACGTAAACCTTAAACGATGCCAGATGTAATTTTTAAATAGACACAAAATGTGAAATATGACCTATTCTATTCTAACATTTCACCGTCGTTTATATAACAGAGTTACATTTGTCACCACTAAATTCATTAAATAAGATAAATAAAGTTTATAAATATAGAAGTGAAGTTTTATCGAAATCATATATACCTAATTTCCTCCGAATAAATTTGTATAGTGGAAAAAAGTATAAATTTATTTTGCAATTCTATTTACAGCTAATCATGATGGAATTAAGTTTGGAACTTGCTTAGTATAACCTAATATATAATTTGATATGCTGTCAATATACACATGTATAACTTAACAATCCGACAGCGGTCAACTTTCGGTTGAAATTGCCTGCTAGACAATATCAACCGAAAAAACTGCTTTATAAACCAATTTTAACACAGCTCAGACAGCTGTCGTTGCATTCATTTTTTTACACATTATTCAAACTTTGCGGACAGTTGTTAAGCATGGGCTTAAATTTGAGTTCTGTGTATTTTTGACAGATAAATGGTGGTGATTAGGGACTGAAATTGAGGTTCATCTGGAATGATGTAAAACTGGTGTCGGATGTTGCGAGATTCGTACGTTTTGTTTAAGTAATATTTCCAAAAATAAGTGTCCCACACTACAGCCACGTCATCAAAAGCGTAGCTATTTTCCAATGGAGCGTCTCTCAATGCAAGAGCTCTCTATGTGCTTATCTTAAACTAAGTCTACGTGTCACTTAAATGAAGACTAAATGTGAATTTCGTTTAAATTCGGGAAGTTCGGGCAAAAAATTTGAAAAAATATGTATTAGTTTCTCGCGAATAAAGTATATTTTAAAATCTGGCTTTATTTCGAGAACTCTATGGAACAAATCGGCGTAAGCATTTGAATTTCTTATGGCTCACCAATATTCGCTTTACGATTACGATAAATTATTCTTCTGAACAGAATATATTTTTCATTAATTATATAACATTGATTCTTCCACGCATTTTTATTTGAATATTTTCACCGATAATATTACCATTTACCACTGAAACCAATTAATACTAGTAAGACAGTGTGAACATAGGGACGACACTGCAGAGGTACTGAAACAATACTAGTAAGACAGTGGAGAACCCATGGACGATAATAAAATAGTACTGAAGCAATACTCGTAAGACAGTAGAGAACCCATATGGACGAATCTGCGGAGGTACTGAAGCAATACTAGTAAGACAGTGGAGAACCCATGGACGACACTGCTGAGGCACTGAAGCAATACTAGTAAGACAGTGGAGAACCCATGGACGACACTGCTGAGGCACTGAAACAATACTAGTAAGACAGTGGAGAACCCATGGACAACACTACAATGGTACTGAACTCGGTTTACATCAATCAAGATTTGTAACAAATGTTTTTTAATATAGTTTAATAATTGTTAGCTATATTAGAGGCTACATTAATTGAATGCAGTTTCATCAAAATTGATAGTTATGACGAGACAAAATCACATGTAGCAGGATACCGTTGCAGCTAATACGGTTAGCTCTGTCAAACATTTAGTTTTTTTAGAAGTTCAATATTGAACGAAAAAATTTTATAATGGGGAAGCTCATTGAAGCATGTACACTTGTGAGTATACTTGTATGCTTCATTGAAGCATACAAGTATACTTATGGCTTATATACACGGTCTCAGAAGGATACTAGAATTTGAAACAAGAACCAACACCATGGGCCACGGCTATAAACTAAAAAAGCTGCGTTGGAACACATCCATGCGACAACATTTCTTCTCGCTTCGAGTCACCGACATGTGGAACAGCCTCCCTGATAGCATCGTTGAAGCTCCGAGTATGAACATCTTCAAAAACAGACTAGACGAAGCTATGCAGGAGCATATGTTCAGTCTTAAAATGCCTAGCAAATTACGGACCAGGCAATAAGTCCAGCAGCTATCTCAATCAATCGTCAGTTATGGAAAGATCGGGTTCCAAAGGCCGGTACCCTTGTGAATCAAGTCACGAAAAGTACAAGAATAAGCAACAGGCCATGGGCCTAATTCTTCAGTGCCGACACTTCTATTCTATTCTTTCTATAATATTTTTCTCAGAACCACAGTACATAATGTTAGTAATATTTTCAAATTCAACCCTTGATTTAAACGGCTTGAGATATATTGTATATGTCCAGATTCAAACAAGTAATTTCATTTTGAAATAATAAATTGAATGAATTTACTTAAGAGTAAAAATTCATTTAAAAACTGTTTTTCAAAATAGACAATCTGATTGATATAATAGTGTTCCAATTTTCATCGCAATGAGCAGGTCTAAGGTATTAAATTTATTTGAATGTATTTTCTACACTTCGATTAAATTCCAGTTGCGTCATTTAGCCTATTTAAGGTGACTTCAGTCCTTCTAAAATATTCTTAAGCCCCTAAACATTTTTATTTCATTCACTAAAATTAATATAATCAGTTTTCACCATAAAATGCCAAAAATTCATTATAATGGGCCCTGAATATAATTTTAAATTAATAATCATACTGTCTGTCATTATGAACTAATTTTGATAAAAATCCAAGGGGGCTTAGCCCCCTCCCCATGTCCTTAAAACCTCCGATTCTGTAAACTTGATTTTGTAATTCGTAACGATTCTGTAAACTCATGGTTGAATTAATACATGCATTAATTCAACCATGTGTAAACTTAACGTCAATTTCCAACCTATTTACTAATTTTAAATCTCATTGCGAATTCGCTAGAAAAAAATATTGGACTATTAATATTGATTCGGAATTTATGAAGCTTATCTAGAAAACCATAGAACAGAAATTTGTCATTTGTAAATTAGAAAAATTTAGCCCTCACTTGACATTTCATATAGTTCAATCATCAATGTGTTATTCATCGAGGTTAAATGTCTCCCATTGTAGTAAATGAAAAATTAAGTTTGAAATGCACTAATAATAATTTATGAGATGATATTACGTGCACACATATGATGTGCATAGGCAGCATAGCCTAAGGTTCGTCTTTCCAGCGCATCTCCATTCTCCACAGCCTGCAGGTGTTTTCTTGTCACCAAAGAGTGAAGGTGCGGAAGTGGCTGGCTGATCGAAGACATATTTCGGGTACCACTGAATAAGCAATATTGCTGTACGCTCCGTGAAACATGCGAGAAATTCAGTCAAAGCAATACCTACATCCGGGTGGGACCATATGAAAAGCTGTAAAAAAATAATTCCCGACATAGAAAACAACAAAGCAATGATTCTGATAGTTTTGGAATTTCAAAAATGCATCGTCTTCTGGAAAGAATGCAGCTTGTCAAGCATTAGCTCATCGTACCTCCGGCAGTTAAGGCGGCGCTCGCGGCATCAATCGCGCGACGTTAGTTCAGAACAGCTCTTCTTGGAGACTTCAATGCAGGTGCTGATTTGTGCAGTAGTTAGTTTGAATTTACTTTGCTACCGTGTATAACAGTTGTGATTACTAATAAATAAAAATGTTTTGTACTCAATGATACGTGTTTCTGAAGTATCTATAGGGTTGTCAAAAGAGAACTGCAAGTAGTATGTGAAAGTGGTAACCCGATCAGCTAGCTATCTTGACGGAAGGTGAGTGAGTTCGAGGATCGCGAAGAAACCTTAGGTAGTGTCAAAAAATTGTCGGCACTGCGGGCATTGTGCAATCTTTTTCGGCTTGGTAAGTTTGTGTGGCCAAAACTTGAATATTATCTATTTATGATGTCATAATAGGTATTTCCACTATTTACTTGCGAAGGATTGTGTCTCTCAAGATATGTTTCCACAACTTTTTTTAACTGCCTTGACTTGAGTTCATGTGAGAAAAAGGTCCGGCGGTAACAAACCGTTACGTCTTTTGCTCTTTACATCACAGCGTATAGTCGCGATACTTATTTAACCGTCTGCATTTTAGGCATCAATATCACGTGCTCTTTTTATTGTTTATCTTGTCAAAGATAACACGAAACGTTCTAAGAAACATGTGTTTCCTTGAACGAAAGAGGGTTTTTTGAATTAAAAATGGCAATTGCGAGCTTTTCTTACCGACTCGCATCTGCAAAAAAGAGTCCATAAGAACTTGAATTTTTGTCACAGGACAATGCAACCAATAAATTTAGTGACAAGAGCCGATGTACTGAAGACCTATTGCACATTTATTTGCATTAATTGCGAACCGAAATAACGGCGAGTCGGCGACTATTAGACGATACTTCTGGTCCAAATACAAAAAATCAAAGACAATGTTAATTAGCTTGAAATATATAGTTTTTTAATGTGTCTCAATGTGTGTGTGACAGGTTTGATTTGTCATTAATGTGTTTTCATTCACCGATTATCTTAGTATATCTTTACCGATGTTATCACAGTAATACGTATTGAAGATATCACAACAATACGTATTGAAGGTATCACAGTAAAACGTATTGAAGGTATCACAACAATACGTATTGAAGGTACCACAGTAATACGTGTTGAAGGTATCACAGGTAATACGCATTGAAGGTATCACAGTAATGCGTATTAGCCTCGCCATGGACCAGTAGCGCTGTGGAACAATAGTGGTGCATTGGTATATAGGTTACGACTGTACACGAGCTACGCATAACGGACGCTAGCGTGCGAACTGAGCTGCACGTTCATATACGTTGAGAATAGAAAAAATGTACCGTAAAAATAATATGGTTTGGATTCGTAACAGATACGTTAACATATTCGTTGCGAACGTCACGCTCCTCGTGCAGTGTGAGTACAGACTATGGGTAATCGTAAACGTAATAATATGCGTTTAAAAATTATTTTTTAAAGACAACTCTTCTAATGAGGCCAGGGTCTTCGATGTTACGCATGTACAATTAATTTCTAATTTTATTTTTAAATACTAAAAAATAATTCTCTCTTTTTTAGTATATAAAAAATATTCATTTTACTATTATTTATTCTGTCAATTGATTCAAGCACTAGCTGTCTCCGACTTTACGCAAGTGTGCAAAATTTCAGATCGATTGGAAACGTATAGAAGTGTGCTAAATACCGATTATAAGATTTGTAGCAGACAAACAAACAAACAAGAAATGAAGCTAAAGAGAGGTGTTGTAAAAATAATATGATTTGGATTCATTGAATACTCGCAAACTGTGCTGCATATACGTCGCAAACGTAGCGATCCTCGATCCGATCGTACAGTGGGAGTACGGAACATATGTACAATGCATATAACGTAACATAAAATTCAGTACGTAACCTAATATCAATTTCATATTCATCATTTCATGATGAAATGAATATTCGTAACCTAATATTAATTTCATCATATTCATTACGTAATGTACTGAAAATGATTTTGATTCATATGATGAAACGTAAACTGAGCTGCATCCTGCATGTATATACATCGCGAACGTAGCGACCCTCGTCCATAAGAATATAAATATTTCATGGAAATAATATGATTTGGATTTATAGTAGATACGACGCGTGTCTATAATACCTTTAAGCAATCGGACGCTACATGTGTTGTAAATAGAAAGAACAATGATAAGTTTTATAACTGAGAATGATCTTTGTACCGGAAAACTGGATAATATCGAGAGATGATTGGTCCATAAATTGTGTGAACCGTCTGCAAAAATTGTATCTATACTATATTAATATTATGTCCAGTTAGACTTTCGTTGTCTGCTAATTTATAAAGATATTGATCGCAATAATATGATGATATTAAAATGACAAAAATACAGTAATTATATTATTATTTCAATTTTGATAGCATATAAAGTTTATTAAGTCGTTTCAGCAATTAAAAAAAATTCTGGTCGAATGGCTTTCGAAAATCAGGGCATATACATAGTCATGATTTATTCAATTAATGTAATCGTAATGTATAGTCATGACTTATTCAATTACGATATTTTGTTCCTCAACAAATTACAGCCTGCAAATTATTCAAGTCAACGTGCAAAATTTCTCTTAAAAAACAGGAATTATTCAATTAATGCCAGTGAATACATGACCACCACGTATTAAGCACATTCATGCCAAAATGTCTTTTGTTTGTACTCAAATCAATGAAATGTTTAACTTTTCTTCCCATATAAAAACTTATATCTAACGAATCCTTTTCTACCTCATCCATGTAAGGGCACGATAGACTGAAAAGTTTTTATTTCTTCGAATAACATGGTTTTAGTAAAGATATAATTCTGTTCCTTCATCCATGACAACTTTGCAACTTGAAAAATCCTACTCTACCGTGCGTGGCCAAGTGAGGACACTATGCATTTTCTTTCATCAACTACAAAACATTCTTCCATGCGATCCAGAATGATCCTTTTCTAATTCTGCTAATATCACGGGTCTTTTAAAGGCACGGTTATATTCCTCAATGTATGAGAACTATTCGAATACTATTCAACGCTATTCGAATTCCACCGAGTTCATGTAAGGTTATTCCCTTCAGAATTGGAGCATTAGACGCTGCCGTTACACCGACAACATATACAGGCTCTGATCGTACGTGCGGTGAGCGAACATTTTGTTTTGTGTGCGTGGGAGGCCGTCGCGCTGCCGTCTAATTCGTACGTAGACCCAGAGAAATGAACAAGATATTGTCCGAATAATTGAGCATTTTTATAGTTGTGTTGGTTTTTCTTATCCTGTTTGGGCCGTCAAAAATCGTATCGTATAGGTATAGCGTTACGTCCGCTCTGTGCACGCGCAGTGGGTGAGAAAGTGTGTCCTTACTTGGACAATATGGCTCACTCATATTCCTGAGTATATAGGTATTCGCACGCTCGCTTCGATATTTCTTGCGTATTTTTTCAAATAAATTTGATTGTCTGCGTACTTTAAGACGCGTAAATGTAGATATGAGGTTGAATTCCTTGCTGAATTTAATCAAGTCAATGAAAAAGCTGTTTTATGAGGGGTTTCTTGCCAATTATCCTTTCGAAAACAAGATCGCACTTTTAATATTTTTGAACCTAATTTTGAAGCTAGACCCTCATTTGTGGGATGTCTCGACGTGTGGATTCAATCGTAATTGAAACTTACTTAAGATGAGTTCAGTACTAATATTTTTAATCGATGCCTAATATTTGTGTATACTCAACTATAAAAACTGGAAACTTCTGTAAACTCAACTGTAAAATTCAAACTGCGAAAGAAATAAATACCTGCATCAAACAGTATTGTTGATCGTATATTCAGTATCTGTAAGTGTATTTCTAAATTGCGTATTGTGTGGATCACTTTCTAGGTAGCGTCGCAGTCTCCACTCCCTTTTTGTAGCGTGCGCAGTCGGCAGTATATCAGCCCTCACATTTGATGTCATTTCTTATTTAGTTTTGTTTTTAAATGCTTTTCTTAATGCTAAGGTAATGTAATTAATGGAAATGTTTTCTAGATTTTTGTAATGTTCTACAACAATAAATTTTATTTGAAGTGAAATTGAGAATAAAATCACAATGGAGGTAGAAGAAAGAGTGAACAAATGGAAATATATCGAGTTCTTAAGAATGTTTCATATTTGATTATAGTAGTTATAACGCATTTTGTATAATAATCTTGGGCGAAACCACATATTTCATTTGTTACCCATAACTCACTTATTAGCTTTAAAATTGAGCATTTATTACGTACCGTTGACGATGTTACAATTGGCGGGTAAACTTGCATTTATACCAATTCAGTAAAATATTTTTCCTATAATTACATCAACTCAGTTTTTGCCCTTTATTTTGAAGTGTATGTGAAATTTCGATGCGTGTATTTCGGTTGACTGACAGTAAAACGACTGCTGATGTTATAACAATAATTATGGTGTTTAGATATTGATTGTACATATCTTCTGTTCTGTACTGTTACGTACCATTATTTCGATATGATGTTCTCCTGAGTATTACTGTACATGGAGTTCTTTGAAAGTTTCTTATTCAGGATACTACAGTTTATATGATGACATGAACTAGTGCCTTGCTTTTTAGTTATTTATTTCGGTATGTGGAAGTCTTAACATTCAATTCTATGTTAAGATAATATTTTATAGTAGTTAAGCGAGGATAGTATACTCTGCAGTTATTTTACGTTAAAAAATTTAATGATTTCATGAAAATCATATCACGGATTATTTTGAAAGTGGTATACGGCGCATGTTTTTACTGTGATGCTTACATGTTTTAACCATTATGAATAGATTTTTTTACCGTGTTTATACCAGATGTTTTGTTTTCACTCGAGGGTGGGGAGTGGGTCGTGTGTCACTGACGGTTGTCTTGACGATTCCACACTGAGAGAAATAAGTATAACGTTTTTCCAAATAGCGATGCACATTTTATGTCTGTGTGGGTCATCCAGACCCAGCTTGGCCTAGCTAAAGGGCGTGCCTACGCTACGTGCAGCAAGTGCATGTGCCATTGATTTGGACAATCTACCCATTAATGTTTCTGAATTCATTGACGGTGGTCTTAACGATATACTCAGATAAATTTATGGGTTATCATTAACACGTAATATGCCAAAAATGCATCAATATATGGACAAAGTCTTACTCGTATGTCTAACACAGAGAAGACACACCGGCGGGTACGGTCGTGTATACGCTGCGTGGCCGTGACCCGTTCAACCGGCCCGTGACGTACAGCGTATCCGGTGACGTGCTCAGCGTCAACCCCGTCACCGGCGACGTCACCCTCGTCAAGCCCGTCGACAGAGAGACCACGAGGGTCATAGAGACCATCATTACCGTGTCTGGTGTGTAGATAAGACCATCATTACCGTGTCTGGTGGGTAGACCATCATTACCGTGTCTGGTGTGTAGACCATCATTACCGTGTCTGGTGTGTAGACCATCATTACCGTGTCTGGTGTGTAGACCATCATTACCGTGTCTGGTGTGTAGACCATCATTACCGTGTCTGGTGTGTAGACCATCATTACCGTGTCTGGTGTGTAGACCATCATTACCGTGTCTGGTGTGTAGACCATCATTACCGTGTCTGGTGTGTAGACCATCATTACCGTGTCTGGTGTGTAGACCATCATTACCGTGTCTGGTGTGTAGACCATCATTACCGTGTCTGGTGTGTAGACCATCATTACCGTGTCTGGTGTGTAGACCATCATTACCGTGTCTGGTGTGTAGACCATCATTACCGTGTCTGGTGTGTAGACCATCATTACCGTGTCTGGTGTGTAGACCATCATTACCGTGTCTGGTGTGTAGACCATCATTACCGTGTCTGGTGTGTAGACCATCATTACCGTGTCTGGTGTGTAGACCATCATTACCGTGTCTGGTGTGTAGACCATCATTACCGTGTCTGGTGTGTAGACCATCATTACCGTGTCTGGTGTGTAGACCATCATTACCGTGTCTGGTGTGTAGACAAGACCATCATTACCGTGTCTGGTGTGTAGACCATCATTACCGTGTCTGGTGTGTAGACCATCATTACCGTGTCTGGTGGGTAGACCATTGCGTATGTTATTGTGTACATGGATTAGTGCGATTTGTTTTATGCGTAGATTTTTATGCGTAGGTATTACTTTCTCTATAGATAAAGTGCGTATATCCTTATTATATGCGTTTATTATTCTGGAGATAAAGTACGTATATTATTATTATATGCGTATATTAAGTTCAAATTGAGCCCTCAGTTCAAATTCATTGAGTCCTGAGGTCAAATTTTTGAACTCAAGACTCGATGTTCTATCAATATCAGCAAATGTTAACATTAATAATCTTCGTTCAAATTTCTGAAGTCTGGACTTAATATGTTCTATTAATATCAAAACATGTTCAACATTAATAATTCACTTCCAAAGTCCACACGGTCGTCAGCCAACCTAAAAATGAGACAATGTGTATTAAAAAATTGTGTTGTTTGCTTGTATTTTAGTCGATGAAAAAATTCTTGAAAGAGAGATTTGTAGCTTTGTATTGAAGGTATCTGCTATAGCAATGTACTCTCAGCATTACATTAGATATAGAGTATTACCGCAGCGTTGTGCTTGATAGAAGTTTAGTTAACTCTAAAACCAAGCAAAATTTCACTTATCACTGAATACTATGGTGCGCAAATAAGCTTTTGATACTCTCTATTTGGTTTATCCAGCTAAAATATTCTTACTGAAAACATTACAATTTCTTGCACTAGAACAGCATGGTGGCCAAGTGGTTGCAGTTTAGAGTAACATGATTGTAACAGTGACTTGTGGGTTCGATCCCAGTAACCCGTGACAGTCTGCCCATAACCGGTGATGGGGCTCGGTGGTCGAGAACAGCTAGATTGAAACAATGAGTTGCGAAGGCGGTAAAAATTTTGCTATGTCTAGAATCGGCGACAGGCTAAATTTGGCCTATTCAACACTACGCCACTAAGTCCGCAGACTACTTTGACTACTTTGACTTTGTACTACTTTGACTTTGACTACTTTGACTGCAGACTACTTTGACTACCGTACTTCTTGACACGCTTGTAACTCGTGTTCTCTCGTTTTATGTACAGTTGAGCCCGAGGGCGGAGCGGCTCCGATCATCGTGCCTTTGAAACGACAGGTTCCTGTTGAAGACGTCAACGACAACGTCCCTGAGTGAGTACAGTAAAAATTTTGCTATGTCTAGAATCGGCGACAGGCTAAATTTGACCTGTTCAACCCTACGCCACTAAGTCCGCAGACTACTTTGACTACTTTGACTTTGTACTACTTTGACTACTACTTTGACTTTGACTACTTTGACTATTACTTGACACGCTGGTAACCTGTGTTTTTTCGTTTTATGTACAGTTGAGCCCGAGGGCGGAGCGGCTCCGATCATCGTGCCTTTGAAACGACAGGTTCCTGTTGAAGACGTCAACGACAACGTACCTGAGTGAGTACCACGCGTGTAGTAACGTGTTTAAAGCGTGTTGAGAACGTGTTAAAAGCGTGTTGAGAACGTGTTTAAAGCGTGTTGAGAATGTGTTTAAAGCGTGTTGAGAACGTGTTTAAAATGCGTGTTGCGAACGTGTTTAAAGCGTGTTGAGAACGTGTTTAAAGGGTGGTTTGAACGGGTTTATAAAGTGTGTTGCTGACGTGTTTAAAGCGTGTTGAGAACGTTTTTAAAGCGTGTTGAGTACGTGTTTAAAGCGTGTTGAGAACGTTTTTAAAGCGTGTGGAGAAGGTGTTTTAAGTGTGCTGAGTACGTGTGTAAAGCGTGTTGCCACGTTCCCTCGCAGGTTCGTGGGAGGCCCGTACAAGTTAATCCTGTAACCTTGTTTCTTACACGAATATTCGTGCCACGTTCCCTCGCAGGTTCGTGGGAGGCCCGTACAAGTTCACAGTGGAAGAGTCGACGTCGGTTGGAGCGACGTTGTTCAGTGACGTGACCGTCACTGACCTAGACGCTGGCCCCAACAGCCAAATAGACGTGCTCTGTGACGTTGCCCAGGTATTTCCTGCTGTAGTAGCTCCACAAAGCGTTCAATAATAAATTGAATAATAAATTATCATTTGAATCCGATTCTTTATTCACTTAACGCGTGCCTATCTAATTCAGCTATCGCTTAGATACTCTTAGATAACGTGTTCGTGCACAATGCGATAACATTACGCGCATGTAACTATAAATAAATTTAACCTGAGTTTAGTCGTCTTCAAAGTATGAACTTAATTAATAAAAAGTCATGACCCACCGAGATCGTGCAGAGTATATACGTAACATTACCTACTTAACGACCCATAGAAAATAATCAAACACTATTACCTATACCGTGCTGTGCGTTACATTACGTACCTAGTAACCACTAAGCACCATTACCTACCGTGCTGTGCGTAACATTACGTACCTAGTAACAAACAGCTGGGTGACGATGATAACAGCTGGGTGACGACGATAACAGCTGGGTGACGATGAGAACAGCTGGGTGACGATGAGAACAGCTGGGTGACGATGAGAACAGCTGGGTGACGATGATAACAGCTGGGTGACGATGATAAAAGCTGGGTGCCGATGATAACAGCTGCCGGTGACGATGATAACAGTACGACCTGCCCGTGAGTTATAACGATGATAACAGCTGCGTGACGATAATAACAGCTGGGTGACGATGATAACAGCTGGGTGATGATAACAGCTGGGTGACGATGATAACAGCTGGGTGACGATGATGACAGCTGGGTGACGATGATGACAGCTGGGTGACGATGATAACAGCTGCCGGTGACGATGATAACAGTACGACCTGCCCGTGAGTTATGACGATGATAACAGTACGACCTGCCCGTGAGTTATGACGATGATAACAGTACGACCTGCCCGTGAGTTATGAGGATGATAACAGCTGGGTGACGATGATATCGGCTGGGTGAAGATGATATCAGCTGGTGACGATGATTACAGCTGGGTGACGATGATAACAGCTGGGTGACGATGATAACAGCTGGGTGACGATGATAACAGCTGGGTGACGATGATAACAGCTGGGTGACGATGATAACGGCTGGGTGACGATGATAACAGCTGGGTGACGATGATAATAGCTGGGTGACGATGATAACAGCTGCCGGTGACGATGATATCAGCTGGGTGACGATAACAGCTGGTGACGATGATAACAGCTGGGTGATGATGATAACAGCTGGGTGACGATGATAATGGCTGGGTGACGATGATAATAGCTGGGTGACGATGATAACAACTGGGTGACGATAATAACAGCTGGGTGACGATGATAACAGCTGGGTGACGATGATAACAGCAGACGATGATAACAGCTGGGTGACGATGATAGCAGCTGGGTGACGATTATACCAGCTGGGTGACGGTGATAACAGCTGGGTGACGATGATAACAGCTGGGTGACGATGATAACAGCTGAGTGACGATGATAACAGCTGGGTGACGATGATAAATGCTGGTTGACGATGATAACAGCTGGGTGACGAGGATAACAGCTGGGTGACGATGATAACAGCTGGGTGACGATGATAACAGCTGGGTGACGATNTTAATCTAATTTATTTATTTCAATTAAGTTTGTAATAATTTTCAACACGTCAGTCATTAATCTAATTTATTTATTTCAATTAAGTTTGTAATAATTTTCTACACGTCAGTCATTAATCTAATTCATTTATTTCAATTAAATTTCTAATAATTTTCAACACGTCAGTCATTAATCTAATTTATTTATTTCAATTAAGTTTGTAATAATTTTCTACACGTCAGTCATTAATCTAATTCATTTATTTCAATTAAATTTCTAATAATTTTCAACACGTCAGTCATTAATCTAATTTATTTATTTCAATTAAGTTTGTAATAATTTTCTACACGTCAGTCATTAATCTAATTCATTTATTTCAATTAAATTTCTAATAATTTTCAACACGTCAGTCACGTGAGCTGGTACAAGGTACGCGCGTGCTACGTGTACGTGTGCGTGATGCTGACGAAGGAACACCTCGTCCTCTGTCGCTGTCCCTGGAGGGCGACGTGAAGGGATACTTCGTCCTGCAGGACGTGCACGAGGACGACGAGGGTGTCACCAACGCTGTCATCGTCACCTCCAACGTCCTGCTAGACAGGGAGGATCCTGACGTCATGAACAACGGCGGGATTTATTCCTTCTCTATTAAGGTGATTATGGTTTATTTTCAAGTCAATTGCTTAAATAACATGTAAAATTGAAGTGATTATAGTTTGCTTTTAATTTAATTGCTTAAATAACATGTAAAATTGAAGTAATTATAGTTTGATTTAAAGTCCTGACGTCATGAACAACGGGGGCATATACTCCTTCTCTGTTAAGGTGATTAATTAATCAATCAGTTATCTCTATTAAGGTGATTATTTAATCGATCATTTATCTCAATTAAGGTGATTAATTAATCAATCACTTATCTCAATTAGGGTGATTAATTAATCGATCACTGATCTCTGTTAAGGTGATTAATTAATCGATCACTGATCTCTGTTAAGGTGATTAATTAATCGATCACTGATCTCTGTTAAGGTGATTAATTAATCGATCACTGATCTCTGTTAAGGTGATTAATTAATCGATCACTGATCTCAATTAAGGTGATTAATTAATCGATCACTGATCTCAATTAAGGTGATTAATTAATCGATCACTGATCTCAATTAAGGTGATTAATTAATCAATTACTGATCTCAATTAAGGTGATTATGGTTTATTATTTCTTCTCAATTAAGGTGATTATGGTTTATTTTGAAGTTGATTATTTAAATGACATGTAGAATTAAGGTGATTATGGTTTATTTTAGAGTTAATTGCTTAAATAACATGGCATTTGATAGTTTATGGTATTTGATAGTTTGATTCTGCATTATATATCAGTAGTTTGAATAATATGTAGAATTGAAGTGATTATGGTTAATTTTAAAGTTAATTGCTTAAATAACGTGAAAAAATGAAGTGATTATGGTTTATTTTAAAGTTAATTGTTTAACTAACATGGCATTTGATAGTTTGATTCTAAGTCAGTAGCTTAAATAACATCTAGAATTTAGGTGATTATGGTTTATTTTGTTAATTGTTTCAATAACATGGCATTTGATAGTTTGATTCTAATATTCCATGTAATTATAAATTCGTATCAATATTTCTCATTGTATAGGCTCGTTTAACCTAAATATTCTGCATAATTATAAATTCGTAACAATATATCTCATTGCATAGGCTCTTTTAACGCAAATATTCTATAAAATTGTAGATTTGTAGCAATATTTCTCGTTGTATAGGCTCGTTTACCGTTAATATTCTATATAATTACAAATTTGTAAGAATATTTCTCGTCTATAGGCACACGAGATCGGCGGTTAAATTGAATATTCTACTTAATCTCAAACTTGAAATGTTAATTCTTGATCTATATGCTCATGAACCGTTCGTTTAACGTAAATATTCTAAATATTCATAAATTTGTAGGAATATTTCGCGTTCTATACTCTCGTTTAACATAAACATTAGCAGGACGAGCGGCCTGTGTTCCTGAACAGCCCCTACAGCGCCACCGTCAGGGAGGGCGTCGCCAGCGTGAGTGTTCCTCGTCACTTCTTCGTCACTTCTTCGTCAGCAGATCATTAGTGTTTAGTATGATGTTTAAATGTGATCGTTTATAATGCTTTGTCATGTTCATAATTATAAGTTATAATTTTATTTATTCATATGTGTGTTTATCTTCGTCACTTCTTCGTCAGCAGATTATTAGTGTTTATGATGATGTTTAATCGTGATCGTTTAAAATGCTTTGTCATGTTCATAATTATAAGTCATAATTATATTTATTCATATATGTGTTCTTCTTCGTCATCTTCGTCAGCAGATGATTAGTGTTTAGTATGATGTTTAACCGTGATCATTTATAGCGCTTTGTTATTTATAATTATAAGTTATAATTATATTTATTCATATGTGTGTTTATTTTATGATATGTTTTTCAATAATAGTGAAGGATAAATTTGTCAGCTGATTCTTCGTCAGCAGATGAGTAGTGTTTAGGATGATATTTAACAGTGATCATTTATAATGCTTTGTTTTATATAATTTTATGTTATGGTTAATATTTATATTTGTGTTTATTTTATGATGTGTTTCTCAATAATAGTGAAGGATAATCACTAGTATCCATGTATTAACGTCTCTCGATTGCTTTAATCGCAAATTCAATAAAAATTTAAAAGCGATGTATTTTCTTTAATTACAAATGACATTTTAAATTTCTAATATTTTTAAAATATTAAGTTAGAAATAAATATTAGATTAATTTATTTGTTTTAATTTATTTATTTTGATTATGTTTCTAATATGTTTCTACACTTCAGTCATTAATTTATTTAATTTACTTTAATTAATTTTCTAATATGTCTCTACACTTCAGGCAATTATTTATTAAATATAATTTAATTATTTTAATTAATTTTCTGATATGTTTCTACACTTCAGTCGATAATTTAATTTATTTATTTCAATTAAGTTTCTAACATGTTTCCACACTTCAGTCACTAATCTAATTTTAATGTAATTTATTTATTTCTATATTAAGTTTCAACACGTCAGTCATTTGTTTAAATTATTTATTTCAATTAAGTTTCTAATATATCTCTACACTTCAGTCACTAATTTAATTTTAATTTATTTTAGTTATTTCTATTAAGTTTCAACACGTCAGTCATTTATTTAATTTATTTATTTAAATTAAATTTCTAAAATGTCTCTACACTTCAGTCACTAATTTAATTTAATTTATTTATTTCTATATTAAGTTTCAACACGTCAGTCATTAATCTAATTAATTTATTTCAATTAAATTTGTAATAATTTTCTACACTTCAGTCACTAATTTCATTTTTATTTATTTCTATTAAGTTTCAACACGTCAGTCATTTATTTAATTTATTTATTTCAATTAAGTTTGTAATAATTTTCTACACGTCAGTCACGTGAGCTGGTGCAAGGTACGCGCGTGCTGCGTGTACGCGTGCGTGATGCTGACGAAGGAACACCTCGTCCTGTGTCGCTGTCCCTGGAGGGCGACGTGAAGGGATACTTCGTCCTGCAGGACGTGCACGAGGACGACGAGGGCGTCACCAACGCTGTCATCGTCACCTCCAACGTCCTGCTCGACAGAGAGGATCCTGACGTCATGAACAACGGGGGGATATACTCCTTCTCTATTAAGGTGATTTATTAATCAATCACTTATCTCAATTAAGGTGATTATTTAATCGATCACTGATCTCAATTAGGGTGATTATGGTTCATTTTAGAGTTAATTGCTTAAATAACATGACATTCGATAGTTTATGGTATTTGATAGTTTGATTCTGCATTATATATCAGTAGTTTGAATAATATGTAGAATTGAAGTGATTATGGTTAATTTTAAAGTTGATTGCTTAAATAAAAAAACGTGAAAAATTGAAGTGATTATGGTTTATTTCAAAGTTAATTGCTTAAATAACGTGTAAAATTGAAGTGATTATGGTTATTTCAAAGTTAATTGCTTAAATAACATGTACAAATGAAGTGATAATGGTTTATTTTAAAGTCGATAGTTTAAATAACATGGCATTTGATAGTTTCATTTTAAGACAGTAAGTTTAAATAACATGTAGAATTGAATTGATTATATTTTATTTTAAAGTCGATAGTATAAATAACATGTAAAAATGAAGTGATTATAGTTCATTTTCAAGTCAATAGTTTAAAACATGTAGAATTTAAGTGATTATAGTTTTCTTAAAAGTCAATAGATTAAATTACATGTAAAATTGAAGTGAATACAGTTTGCTTCTAAATCAGTAAGTTAAATCAAACGTAAAATCAAAGTGAATTCGGTTTAATTCTATGTGAAAAGTTTAAATTAAATGTAAGATCAGAATGATTGCAGTATAAATTAAAGTTAAAAATCAAATAGTACCGTATTATAGTTTAAACCAAACAGATTGCAGTATTAATCAAACTGAATACAGTTTAAATGAAAATGATTGCAATTTGAATCAAATAGTAAATATAGACTATTACAATTCAAATTAAAATGTTTATAGTTTTAATCAAAGTGTAAATTAAAATATTTCAGTTTAGTCATATTGATAACAGTGTTCATCAAAGAGAATACAGTTTATATAACAATGATTCCGCGAGTACACTAAATATTCTTATTAATAAAGACGTTAAAGTGTTATTTTTTATTGTTTAATCACTGGAGATTGGCAGTTAACTTGAATATTCTACATAATCTTGACCTTTAAATGTTATTAAATGTACTGCAGGCACAGAAGTTCGACTATCACATTAATAATTCTTATTGATAAACGCGTGGAAAGGTTATTTTTTTTATCTATATGCCCATGAATCGTTCGTTTAATGTAAATAATACTATGTATATATATTCTACATGATTATAAATTTGTGTCAAATTTATAAATTTAATTCAATTTGTCAAATTGAATATTCCACATAATCTCAACCTTGAAATGTTATTTTTCGATCTTTAAGCTCGCGAATCGTTCGTTTAACGTAAATATTCTACATAACTATAAATTTGTAACAATATTTCTTATTGTATAAGCTCGTATAACGTAAATATACCATATAATTATAAATTCGTAACAATATTTCTCATATCGTAAATATTCTACATAATTACAAATTTACAATATTTCTCGTTCTATAGGCAGACAGACAGAGGAGGTCGGCGGTTAAATTGAATATCATACATAACCTTAACCAAGTAATTTATTGATCTTTATGCTCATGAATCGTTCGTTTAACGTAAATATTCTACATACTTATAAATTTGTAGCAATATTTCTCGTTCTCTAGGCTCGTTTAACGTAAATATTCTATTTAATTACAAATGTATAACAATATTTATCTATTCGGGGGGGGGGGGAAGTTGATCCCAATATTTATCTAGGCACGTTTAACGTAAATATCCTACATAATTACAGATTTGTAACAATATTTCTCTAGGCTCGTTTAACCTAAATATTCTATATAATTACAAATGTATAAGAATATTTCTCAAGGCTGAGGAGGTCGGGGGGTCAGAGAGCGACGTGGCGACGGCCGCGGTGACGATCGTCGTCACGGACGCTAACGACGAGCTGCCTGTCTTCAGCGCTGACCAGGTGCACGTCAGCGTGGGGGAAGATCTGGGTGAGACGTGTACTATATTTAGTTGTTATTTACTTGCTTTATTATTTACTTACTTGTTAATTATTGGTTATTGGCGTAATCAAGCGTTATTATTTGCTTAATTGTTATTTATTGGTTATTGGAGTCACTTGCGTTATTATTTAGTTACTTATTATTTATTAGTTATTGGCGTAATCAAGCGGTATTAATTACTTAATTGTTATTTATTGGTTATTGGCGTAATTGGCGTAATCGCGCGTTCTTGAATTCATTGATAATAAAATATAATCTTTTTTGCCCGTCGCGGGACTTTTTTCATCGTTGTTAGACCTATAAGACTTCAAAAGTTTCTTTCATGTAAATGAAATCGCATCAAGGTACTCGAGTCACTTAAAAAATTTCATTTTGTGAGTTTTGCCTTTCTTTAAATTTACGAAAAAAGTCATTAATTTTTATGTAAATGGCTTGACGCTCTCACAGATCTTGCCGATGAGGCAAAATGCATTTCATGTATTTTATATTTCATGGACTTTTTATATCTCTTTCTTAACTTGTTGCTATGAGACTTGCTGCTCAATTACTTTCATAATTCTTCTAAGTGCGGCCAGACCATTAGTTTTCTTGATTGGTTTTTGCTTTTACGAGAATTTCGACCTTGAAATCTGAAATATTTATGTCTCGGTGCTTTTTTTTGAGATATGAAGAAATTCGTTTAGATTCAGAGATAAGAACAAACAAATTTGAGGTCTGTTTTACGACTGGAAATAATTTTTTCATTATGTAAGCAGTTAACAAATTGACATAACAGTGATTACAGGTGGAAATATTATTACGGTTAATAATATAATATTATAATATCCATTATTCACAATAATTATCAAAGATTAATTATATAAATATTTATTTTACAGCCGCATTAATAATTGCTATGAATGCATTATCATCAATTATTCTCTGCAGTTAAATATATAATATTTTTCGCTACTCCCTCCAGCGAACGGAATATTTATTTTACAGCCGCATTAATAATTGCTATGAATGCATTATCATGCATCAATTATTGTCTGCAGTTGAATTTGTATAATCTTTTTCGCTGCTTTGTCCAGCGAACTGCACCAAGATTAACTATATAACTATTTATTTTACAGACGCCTTACTAATTGCTATTAAAGCATTTACAGTAATTATTCTCTGCAGTATAATCTATAACCTTTTTCGCTACTCTCTCCAGCGAACCGCACTCCGCTGTCTGGACTTGACCTCACAGTAGCGGATGGGGACTTGGGTGAGAACGCTAAGTTCTCACACACATATATATTTATTATATATATAATATATAATATACAATATTTTCCGCTGCCCCCTCCAGCGAACGGTACCCCGCTGTCGGGACTTGACCTCACAGTAGCGGATGGGGACTTGGGTGAGAACGCTAAGTTCTCACCCATATATATATATATTGGTGAGATATATATATTACATATAATATATATTATTTTTCACTGCCCCCTCCAGCGAACGGTACCCCGCTGTCGGGACTTGACCTCACAGTAGCGGATGGGGACTTGGGTGAGAACGCTAAGTTCGACTTAAGTTTGGAAGACGTGTTCCCCAGCGGCAGCGCGGGTGTCTTTAGTGTGTCCCCCCAGACTGTTGTGGGACGGTCACCCGTCATACTTAAAGTATACAGGTGAGGCTCTCAGTCTTACAGGTGAGGCTCTCAGTCTTACAGGTGAGGCTCTCAGTCTTACAGGTGAGGCTCTCAGTCTTACAGGTGAGGTTCTCAGTCTTACAGGTGAGGCTCTCAGTCTTACAGATGAGGTTCTCAGTCTTACAGGTGAAGCTCTCAGTCTTACAGGTGAGGTTCTCAGTCTTACAGGTGAGGCTCTCAGTCTTACAGGTGAGACTCTCAGTCTTACAGATGAGGCTCTCAGTCTTACAGCTGAGGCTCTCAGTCTTATAGGTGAGGCTCTCAGTCTTACAGGTGAGGCTCTCAGTCTTACAGCTGAGGCTCTCAGTCTTATAGGTGAGGCTCTCAGTCTTACAGGTGAGGCTCTCAGTCTTACAGGTGAGACTCTCAGTCTTACAGGTGAGGCTCTCAGTCTTACAGGTGAGGCTCTCAGTCTTACAGGTGAGGCTCTCAGTCTTACAGGTGAGAAATCGTGAGCTTCATGAGAAAATTGATATTCAACGAAGCGTGACGCGTATAATTCGTAGTTATTCACACAAATTAAAGTTGTAGTGATGCAGTTAACAGTGCTACTATGATCGCAATTAAGCTTAATCGAAGTGTTTGACTCATTCATTTTTCAGAGTGTAGTTACGCTGCTAATTTAAATTAAGTATTATTTATTTATTAATAAGTATTATTTATTTATTAAGTATTATCAAGTAATTTATTAATAAGTATTACTTATTTATTAATAAATATTGTTTATTTATTAAGTATTATTTGCACACAGATCGTCGGTGAGCGAGTCTGCCAAGCCTGGCACATCCATTGGGCAGATCACCGCTAAGGACGCTGACTCTGGTGACTTCGCTCAGCTCAGGTCTGTGCCATATTATCCCAACTGCCAATCTACAACAAGTATCAACTGCCATTTTATCCCAATTACCTACTTTAAGACTAAATCAATCTTAATTCTTATTCTCTATTACCTATTCATTCCCTTAGCTCTTATTATCTAGTTTAGCTACACGTGAGCTTGTTTGCCCCGACACAGCTACTCGCAGAGGTTTCGGCAGCGAAAAGTTCTTATTACTTGTTAAAGCTCCTATTATTATTATTATATTATAAAAGCTCTCATTATTTATCTTATCTTAACGTGAGTTTGTTTTCCCCCACACAGCTACTCGCTCAAAGGTTTCGGAAGCGAAAATTTCATGGGCCTATTTCTTCAACGCCGACACTTATATTGTATTACTTATAAAATCACTTATTATTTTAATATTATTAAAGCTCTCATATATTATTATATTATAGAAGCTCTTATTATTTATCTTATCTTAACGTGAGTTTGTCCCCCGACGCAGCTACTCGCTCAAAGGTTTCGGCAGCGAAAAGTTCCGCGTAGACCCCGACACTGGCGAAATTTTCCTGTCTTCATGCGGTGGTCTGGACACTTGTCTGGACTATGAACGTCAGGCTTCCTACTCGCTGACGTACGTCGCTACAGACGGCGGAGGACGTGTGACGTCAGTTAACCTCTTCGTTGACGTGCTCGACGAGAACGATAACTCACCGATGTTCTCACAGCTCGTCTTCCGACGAACTGTTGACGAGGGAGCTACGGAGTTCGTTCCTCCGCTCATGGTTGAGGTGAGGCATCGAGAATTGTTCTTCATGGTGAAATTTCTCCATTGTATATTTGCGAGCTTATTGAATATATTGTTAAATCTATAATAATGTATTACAATAACGTGTACTTAGTTCGAAAAAAGATCGTGTTCGCTACTCCGCTCATGGTTGAGGTCAGGCATTAAGAATTATGTTCTTCGTGGCGAAATTATTTACATTTATATATGTAAGCTTATTAAATATATTGGTTAAATATATAAAAGTGTATTAGAATAAAGTGTACTTAAAAACGATCGGAATTCGCTACTCCGCTCATGGTTGAGGTGAGGCATTAGGAATTATGTTCTTCGTGGCTAAATTTATCCTTTGTATATATGTAAGCTTATTAAATATATTGCTTAAATATATAATAGTGTATTAGAATGATGTGTACTTAGTTCGAAAATCGATCGTGTTCGCTACTCCGCTCATGGTTGAGGTGAGGCATCAACAATTATGTTCTTCGTGGCGAAATTTTTCCATTGTATATTTGTGAGCTTATTGAATATATAGGTTGAATATATAATAGTGTATTACAATAATTTGTACTTAGAAGCGATCATGTTCGCTACTCCGCTCATAGTTGAGGTGTGGTATCGAGAATTGTGTTAGATGTCATATTTCTTTTTGTGAGTTTAGTAAACATTATTTTATTAATATTGAATATGAGCTTTTAAATTATAGTAGTTTAATATAATCCGCGCGCCTTTTGAACAGAACACGTTTAGTATTAAATGTGTGCATTCTGATACAATAGTTTTTAATACTAAATGTGCGCCTTTTAAATATAATAGTTTAATATTAAACGTGCGCCTTTTAAATATAATAGTTTAAAATTAAATATGCGTCTTTTAAACATGATAGTTTAATATTAAACGTGCGCCTTTTAAATATAATACTTTAAAATTAAATATGCGTCTTTTAAAAATATATACATGAACGGACAATTAATAAAAAATAAATGATTATTGAAATAAGAAGTTTAGCTACTTTAACGTAATCTTCCTGAATATATGAAACGGAAAATAAATAAAAATGAACGAATAAGTAAAATAATAAATGAACATACAAATAAAAGTTAAGCTATTTTACCTTAAACTTCCTGCCTCAGGCGACGGACGCTGACGGCGAGCAGCAGGGCGCTGGCCGAGTGTTGTATGCCATACAAGATGGCAACACCGACGATCAGGTAAAACTAATGAATAAATTATATTCATCTTATCTCTTTATTAAAAATTAATTTTCTATTTCATATTCCTATATGAATTTAATGTAACTCATCTAAAGTTTCCTTAAAATCCCCATTACGGTTGCGGGAAGTTTCTTGACAAAAAAAAATTGGTCTCGCGAAAAAGTTCAAGAATCTCAGGTTAAGTTTTTCGTGCCGCGATTATCGCAGAAAGATGCGGTAAATGACTGAAATCATAATTAAATTTGCAAAAAAATACTTTTAGTTTGATTATTCGTCGTATTTTCATCTCCCAGTGATCAGTGATATTTTTTTAGGCTTCCAGGTGATGGAGGCTTGTAGTGATTAAATAAAAATATTTATTATAATATGAAATATCTCTCTTTTTAGCATGACTTGCAATTTTACTGTCCATAAAAAATTCAAAATTAGATGTGCATTTTCACTGTACAAAAAGTAAGTATACAGCATACATGTATGCGAGTATTAAACCTGTATATGTAATGTATAGGTTATACAGGGTGTACCAGAATTAACTGACCCTTTCAATTTGTTAATAAATAAAAAACTAAGAATGTTATGAAGTTGAAACTTGTTTTATTTAAAAGAAGAACATTTTCATGGTAATATTGTATCATAGGTACGTCATTATCCTGTATAGCTTGCTAAATTTGTGTTTAATTATCAAGCCTTAAATTTTCATCATGATTCGCTACAGCAAAGAAGAAAGAACGAAAATTCTGCAAACCTACATCAGGACGATGTCAATAACAGAAGTTCACATGATTACAGGATCCATTTCAAAACAAGAATCAGTCCTTCAAAAAAAAATAATTTTTTCTAAAAAAAAAAAATTTTCGCCAGAATTACTAATGAAGGTTATGAAAGCAACGAAGAGAAGAGCCCTATTTTATCAAAACAATTGTGGTGGGCATTTAAAAGACATTATATTTAAAAACTAGGATACAATATTACCATAAAAATGTTCTTCTTTTAAATAAAACAAGTTTCAACTTCATAACGTTCTTAGTTTTTTATTTATTAACAAATTAAAAGGGTCAGTTAATTCTGGTACACCCTGTACATGTACACAAGTATTGTATAGGTTGTACATGTACTTGTATACAAGTATTATATAGGTTGTTGGGGAAATTAGGAAATTTGTACTTACTCATTACTTGTATTTGATTCAAAATTTTTCCTTCAAATCTCAACATCCTTCATCTCTAGTATCTTTTATCCAAAATCCTTCATCTCTAGTATCTTTTATCCAAAATCCTTCATCCCTAGTATCTTTTATCCAAAATCCTTCATCCTTTTTTACCAGGTCTTCAAGATTGATCCTGACACTGGTGAAGTGACCGTGCGACGACCGCTGACGTATCTTGATACTCCATCATCATCATACTCCATCACTGTGAGGGCATCTGATGCAGGTGAGGGCATCTGATACAGGTGATGGCATCTGATGCAAGTGAGGGCATCTGATGCAGGTGAGGGCATCTGATGCAGGTGAGGGCATCTGATACAGGTGATGGCATCTGATGCAATTGAGGGCATCTGATGCAGGTGAGGGCATCTGATGCAGGTGAGGGCATCTGATGCAGGTGAGACTGGCAGCCATAAACTAATATTCAATACCGTCACCCTATATATAAGCTCATGTGTAGAGGCGAACAACAGTATATAGTTATAAGTACACCCCCTGCTACTAGCTATACCTTTCGTTAGCTTAAAACTACACTCCGACGGCTACTGCTCTAACATCGTACTATCCTTTATATTAACTTCATAGTTACACTGTGTTCTCATTCGATATTTACATTATATTAATTACTCGTATTACTAGCTCATTATATTATTATTGTATTATATTAATTACTCATTACTATCCTGCTACAGTCACGAAACACTCTAGTTACAATGGTGCGCTATATAACTACTTGTATATGCAGGGACAGTCATAGTGTAAACTAAAGTCAGTGCTGAAGAACAGGCACTAATATAAGAGTGCTACTATTACTCTATCAATTGAGAGTAAATCGTCTCATTACATCTGAGAGTAAATCTTTATATTACATGCATTATATCCGAGACTGAGCGAACATCAATAATTAAACCGAACTTCAGAAAAAATTTTCATGAACTTCAGCACAAAAAGAACGAACTTCAGAAAAAAGCACAAACCGAACGAATTTCAGAAAAAGTACTTCATGCAATAAATATATTTGTCATTCAGAACAAATGTTCTAAACACATCGAGGCACATAAAAAATATTGAATATGTTTGTCGCAGGGACTCCGCCTCGGTTCACGGACGTACGCGTCCTGATCAAAGTTGGGCGCCAGACGAACAAGGCGCCCAGGTTCCTACAGAAGTCCTACACGGCAAGGATATACGAGACGGCCCAGCCAGGTTATATATTGTGGTCTTGTTATTATAGCATGAGTAATGATGTTGTTATGACCTTATTGTGAATATCTAATAATGTTGTTATAACCTTATTATGAATACTGAATAATGTTTCTATGACCTTATTATGAGATCTGAATAAGGTCATTATGACCTCATTGTGGATTAGAAATAAGGTTATAATGACCATGTAATGAGTAGTGAATATAAGGTCATTATGACCTCATTGTGGATTAGAAATAAGGTTATTATGACCATGTAATGAGTAGTGAATATAAGGTCATTATGACCTCATTGTGGGTTTTGAATAATAAAGGTTATTATATGACCATTTATGAGTACTGAATGAGGTCATTATGTATGAGTTATGACATATGAATAAGGTCACAAACAAGGCTCATAAGAAGAGGCCCATAAGGTCATAAACTGCAGAAGTATGAACTGCTTGAATGTTTAACCGTGGAATAAAAGTGTTCAATCAATTTCTAACACTTTTCAAACTTCGAGATGCAAATTTGCAAACTATAACTCAGTTTTGCCAAATCAGATTAGCTGATCGCATGTGAATTGTCTTTATTTCGATGATCATGAATAATGAAAATATTTCACTAAGGCGATGCAGACAATTATAAATTTACCCACGAATCTACTATATGGTAAGAATAGCATCGCGCTAAACTAACTTTGAAATGTGTGCTGTGAATACTGTAAATATTCATTGTACAAAATAATCCTCGTACATAATTCATACATAATTTCAATTTCAATAATTTCATAAATAATTTCAATTTCAATAATTTCATACATAATTTCAATTTGATAATTTCATACATAATTTCAATTTCAATAATTTCACATATAATATAAAATTCAATAATTTCATACATTATTTCAATATCATTATAATGCTTACCATCTTGATGAATTCCCTCAACACACCATCTTGATGAATATCCCTGATGTTATAGGGTCTCTGGTGGAGACGGTGCAGGCGATGGACCCAGACGGCGACGCTAGTGCAGGCGACATCAGCCTGTACAGGCTGGGGCGAGGAGCAGGCGACACGTTCGTCATCGACGCCGCCACAGGCGACGTGAAGCTCGCCCCCCTCGCCCACCTCGACCGCGACCAGACCGACCAGTACCTGGTGATATATAGCCGTTACCTGGCATTACCAGTACCTGGTGATATATAGCCGTTACCTGGCATTACCAGTACCTGGTGATCTATAGCCGTTACCAGGCATTACCAGTACCTGGTGATCTATAGCCGTTACCTGGCATTACCAGTACCTGGTGATCTATAGCCGTTACCAGGCATTACCAGTACCAGGTATTCAATAGCCATTACCAGACCGACCAGTACCTAGTAATCTATAGCCATTACCAGGCATTACCAGGGCCTGGTGATCTATAGCCGTTACCTGACATTACCTGGATCAATTATTACCAGGCATTACTAGTGTCAACTATTCCCAGCCATTAACAGGGCCAATTTATACCAGGCATTACCAGTGTCAATTCATTCATTTATTTCATTTCTTCCGTTCATTGAAATACAGTTGTTCCATTCATTTATTTCAGTTGATCCATTCATTGAATCTCAGTTGTTCCATTCATTTATTTCAGTTGTCCCATTAATTTATTTCATTTGTTCCAATCATTGAATTACATTTTTTCCATTCATCTATATCAGTTGTTCCACTCATTTATTTCACTTGTCCCATTAATTTATTGCAGTTGTTCCATTCATTGAATTACAGTTCTTCCATTCATTTATTTCAGTTGTTTCATCTATCTATTTCAGTTGTTCCATTCATTGCATTACATTTGAATAATTTGTTAATTTATTCGCACGCTCAGATCGAGGTGCTGGCAGTAGACCGGGGTGAAGATGTCCCCCAGACCGCCACGGTCACGCTCACCGTCGACGTTCTCGACGTCAATAACAAACCTCCTGCATTTGTTCAAGTACGTCTTAAGTTTTCCTATATTTTGTAGACGAAGTTTCCTTCCTGCTTCTCATAAATCAAGTACGTCTCAAGTATCCCAAAATTTTGTAGAATAAGTTTCCTTTCTGATTCTCATAAATCAAGTACGTCTTGAGTTTTGCAAAATTTTCCTGAAAAATTTTCCTTCCTGATTCTCATAAAATGTAGCTATGCATTGATTGTGCGTGAATGTGCAGTGTACCTAAAGTATGGGCACAGTACACATTTTTTTCCGCGCTTGTATTCGGAAAAAGCATAGTACTACATAATTGTGCTGATGTTGAAGTTGTTAAAATTATTTTTTTAACAAAAATTTGCTAATCTTCATAGCAACGTAACATTATGTTCCTTAATTTGACTCTAATGTTGCTACGATTTTTTGCAAGTTTTTCTTGGTTTCTGCGCTGTATTTCGTTTGAAATTTTTTTAAACCAAGCGGTTCAATTTGACTTTATTATAAACTTTATTTCGTTGTCTGTATTACGGCTATTTTATTTAATGAATTGTGCTCTAATTTCCCGGGCTATTTAATTTCCAGAATCTAATTTCTCGTACCATTTCTTCAATTAATTAAACACTATAATGAATTCCTATAAGCAACGTTCTTTCTCATGTAATTCAAACCTGCGTTAATATTTCATTAATATATTTCAATTTAAACCTCCTATATACGCTATTCACGGTTGACTTAAGTGATCAAAAGTTCTTCATTCAGCGTTAAAATCGCTCGACGCTGTGCAAGTTGGGTTCAAAGTTCCGAATTGACTTTCTCTGTAGTTGACTTTCTTCAGAGTTGACTTTCTTCAATTATAATTTGACTTAAGCTGACGTCAGTCTTGATGCCATCCAAGCTATGTCATCAGTCTTAAGCTGACGCCAGGGCCAGTCTTGATGTCATCCAAGCTATGGTCATCAGTCTTAAGCTGACGCCAGTCTTGATGGGACAGGAGTTTTAAGCTGACGTCAGTCTTGATGCCATCCAAGCTATGACCCTCAGTCTTAAGCTGACGCCAGTCTTGATGCCATCCAAGCTATGGTCATCAGTCTTAAGCTGACGCCAGTCTTGATGGGACAGGAGTCTTAAGCTGACGCCAGTCTTAAGACTGACGTCTTAAGCTGACGCCAGTCTTGATGCCATCCAAGCTATGGTCTTCAGTCTTAATCTGACGCCAGTCTTCAGTCTTAAGCTGACGCCAGTCTTTTTTTGATGAGTCATCAGTCTTAAGCTGACGTCAGTCTTGATGGGACAGGATTCTTAAGCTGACGTCAGTCTTAAGACTGACGTCTTAAGCTGACGCCAGTCTTGATGCCATCCAAGCTATGGTCTTCAGTCTTAAGCTGACGCCAGTCTTATGGGTCATCAGTCTTAAGCTGACGCCAGTCTTAAGACTGACGTCTTAAGCTGACGCCAGTCTTGATGCCATCCAAGCTATGGTCTTCAGTCTTAGACTGACGCCAGTCTTGATGAGTCATCAGTCTTAAGCTGACGCTAGTCTTGATGCCATCCAGTCTTGATGGGTCATCAGTCTGAAGCTGACGTCAGTCTTGATGCCATCCAAGCTATGGTCATCAGTCTTGAGCTGACGCCAGTCTTGACGGTTCATCAGTTTGAAGCTGACGTCAGTCTTGATGCCACAGCCCTCGTACACGGCGCACGTCAGCGAGCGCCTGCCGCTGGGGTCGCCGGTGCTGACGGTGAGCGCCAGGGACCCTGACGATGACGCTGAGCTGCGTTACGACGTGCGGGACGAAACAGCGCTGCAGCCGTACTCATCCTCACGGTGACCGTCACGGACGTTAACGCTACGTTAACAAACGTTAACGCTACGGACGTAAACGCTACGGACGTCGCACCCAACCAGACTGCGTCCGGTGAGGCTATAGTTCATTGTGAGTTTTGTGAGTGAAAATTATTGGGTGAGTGATAATACTCAATATTGGTTGCCATGGGTATATAGAATATATAAAATAAATTTTACATATTGTTATAGGTACCTATATAATCATCATGAGTTTTGTGAGTTAGTTATTGTGTGAGTAATGATACGCAATATTGGTTTTCGTGAGTATATACGATATATAAAAATAAATTTTATATATTATATATAGTGTAATATAAAATGATTTAGTTTAGTTACTGCGTGAGTAATAATAGTACTCAATTTTGGTTGTAGTGAGTATATACAAAATATACAAATAGATTTTATATATTGTACTATATAATTATCATGAGTTTTATGATTTAGTTTGGTTATTGCGGGAGTGATAATACTCGGTATTGGTCGCCGTGAGTATATACAATAATATAAAATAGCTATATGCATGGCATGAAATATATGGTAATTAAGTGAGTGAGTCTCGTTCAGTTATTGCGTGAGTAATAATACTCAATATTTGTTGCCGTGAGTGTATTTAATACATAAAATAGCTATATATACAAGGCATACAATGTTTGCTGATTGAGTGAGTGAGTTAGTACCGTTCAGTCATATGTTGAGTAATATATACTCATGCAATATTGTATATTAGTTGCACTGAATATAACCTCGATACGATCGATAGGTGAAGTATAACGCTTCACGCAATGAACGAATTTTTCATGGTTGTCTCAGTCCCGTCCAACCATGATTAGAATTATATTCACCCATAATATGTTTTTGTTCGATATATCTTCTGGACAATTTTTGACATAATTGGACAAAATTGGAGATATGAACCAAATTTAAATTAATTTACGCACTGATTCAATTTCTTGTGCATTTTTACAAGCTGTAGTTTAATTTATAGTCAATTAGTCATCTATATTGACGTTGTAGCGTATTTCCCGATCCATAATATGTTGTGAAGTTAATGCTATATAAAAGCGCTACTTTGTAGCACGTATGTATGAATACACATTCACACTAGATGACCTGTCTTGTTTATTTCATGATAACTTCACTTTTATTTAAATTATCTATTTCTTTTGAGCATTTCCAATTCCCGTACTTTTACTCCTTTGACTTATTCGAACCGGGATGCCGACTTGCTTCAATTCTATACATAATAATTGATATTAATTAAAGGAACGTGTTCAAGACAACTTTTATCGCCTACGGCTTCGTCTGTCAAAGTGTTTAACTGTTCATTTAATTAACTATTGAAATATTCTTAAAATGAGCTTTTTGTTTATCACAGAGATATGTTTCAAGAACATATCTCGACGTATTAAATCTCACTTGTGTTCATCGATCGGTTAACATCTTATAAAACAGCGTTTCTGTTACGAACATAGAGAACAGAGAATACTTATATACTTGTAGATATATACTTATTATACTTGAATACTTATCTACCTATATACTGCTTATACTTTTATACCTACATACTTATTATACTGACATACTTATAAATATCTACTTATTATACTTATATATTTATTGTCTGCCGTCAACAGCGGAAGTGACGGTATACATCCAAGCGTTCGCAGCAACAAGAACCCGATATTCATATTATACTTGTATACTTATACATATGTACTTATTATACTTATATTCTTATTATACTTATATACTTATTTTCTCCCGGCAACAGCGGAAGTGACGGTATACATCCAAGAGTTCAGCGACAAGAACCCGATATTCATATTATACTTGTATACTTATACATATGTACCTACTTATTATACTTATATACTTGTTATACTTGTATACTATGTCTGCCGGCAACAGCGGAAGTGACGGTATACATACAAGCATTCAGCGACAAGAACCCGATATTCAGCGCCCCCTGGACGCCCGCGCACCCGCTGCTGACGGTGCAGCTCAGGGAGGAAGAGCCTTTAGACAAGCCTGTCTTTGCCGTCACTGCCAAAGACCCCGTCTCAGGTGGTCTTTAGTTAGGAAATTATATTACAAATAATCATGTAATTCAGATTGGTAAAGATTATTATTGTCATAGACTTTTGGGAAATATTAATGAGGACGAACAAGCCCGTCTTTGCCGTCACCGCCAAAGACCCGGTCTCAGGTGGTCTTTAATTGGGGAATTATATTAAAAAATAATCATGTTATTCAAATTGGTAAAGATTATTGTTGAGAGTTTTGGAAATATTGAGGACGAACAAGTTCGTCTTTGCGGTTACCGCCGGAGAGCTGGTCTCAGGTTGTCTTTAGATGGGAAATGAATCTCGCAAAACTCGAGTACAATTTAATGATCATAAAGTTAATAGATACGTTTGTTAAAGTATATGTCATTTCGTCCCAAAACTCGAGTACTATTTAGTGATCATAAGATCAGGAGATGTATTAGTTAAAGTGTATGTCATTTAATCGCAAAACTCGAATACTATTTAGTTATCATAAGATCAGGAAATACGTTAGTTAAAGTAAATGTCATTTCATTTCCAAACTCGAATACTATTTAATGATCATAAGATCAGGAAATGCGTAAATTGAAGTAAATGTCATTTAATCGCAAAACTCTAGTACTATTAAGTGATCATATGGTCAGGAAATACGTTAATTAAAGTATATATCATTTTATCTCAGGCCAGCCCGTTAGGAGGTACGCGAAAGTACCGGACTCGGACCCCGACAACATCTTCTCCGTCGCCCCCATCACCGGGCAGGTCTCTCTCAACCGCAGGGTGGACTATGAAGCCTCAGAGACTAAGGTGCCTCATGCAGTTATTAGTGGTCCTTAATTGTCCTTAGTTGTCCTTATAGTTGTCCTTAGTAGTCCTTAGTGGTCCCATCACCGGGCAGGTCTCCCTCAACCGCAGGGTGGACTATGAAGCCTCAGAGACTAAGGTGCTTCATGCAAGTATTGCTCTTTAATCTCGTAATCAAAGTACAGCTTATTTAAGTGCTTATTTTATCTCACAATCAAAGTTCTGCTTATTATTTAGGTGCTCTCATAATCAAAGACATGCTGTTGTTTAAGTGTTTTTTTTTCTCACAATCAAAGACTTTCTATTAATTTAGGCTTCTCATAATCAAACCCATGCTTCTTGTTTTAGTGCTTATTTTAACTCACAATCAAACACCTTCTTATAATTTAAAGGTTCGTCTTGTCTTGCTCATCTTATATCACGGTCGAAAACCTATACATATTATCGTTCAATTGAAAANTTGTAACTAGGGTTATAACTAGGCCAACAGTAGTTGTAACTAGGGTTATAACTAGGCCAACAGTAGTTATAACTTGGGTTATAACTAGGCCAACAGTAGTTGTAACTAGGGTTATAACTAGGCCAACAGTAGTTGTAACTAGGGTTATAACTAGGCCAACAGTAGTTATAACTTGGGTTATAACTAGGCCAACAGTAGTTATAACTAGGGTTATAACTAGGCCAACAGTAGTTATAACTTGGGTTATAACTAGGTCAACAGTAGTTGTAACTTGGGTTATAACTAGGCCAACAGTAGTTGTAACTAGGGTTATAACTAGGCCAACAGTAGTTATAACTAGGGTTATAACTAGGCCAACAGTAGTTATAACTTGGGTTATAACTAGGCCAACAGTAGTTGTAACTTGGGTTATAACTAGGTCAACAGTAGTTATAACTAGGGTTTAAATAGGCCAACAGTAGTT